CTCTCTCTCTCTCTCTCTCTCTCTCTCTCTCTCTCTCTCTCTGTGTGTGTGTGTGTGTGTGTGTGTGTGTGTGTGTGTGTGTGTGTGTGTGTGGATACTGGTGGGAAGATAGCACGTTGAGCTGCTGATGTCTCGAAGGTACAGGTAACAAGCCAGCTTCCATGAGGAGGCTTATCTATGCTCCCAGCAGGTAAGGAGACCTCCTATCGCCTGCCATCCGGCGCTCATCTACTTGCCTACATCCAGCACCATTCTGGTCGAGTAGCCTATTGTCCAGCAAGTCAAGCGCTCGAAACATCTGTGTGTGACCTCATCTGGTCCAACTCTTTAAATATTGTCGGACCCTCCTCCTATTCAGTCTTTGTTCTATATTGTACGGAGGTACTTGTGATCTGCGGTCGGCAGTCTGAACAGATATTATGGTTAGCGAACAAACACGCAAGGTTAATCCGTCCAGATATATGGATAAAAATATAAATGACAAGGTCTCCACAAAATGAGAGAGCAGTCAGCACACAAAAGTGAAAATAAATAGTGTAGAAACTGACAAACACAAGTTGAAAAATGAAAATACAAACAATGTGCTAGTCCACACAGGCCCAAGGGCACAAATGGTGCATGATGGCCAACGTGCAGCCTTGGCCGCAAAAAAAATATATCTTGGTCCTTCACCTGATGAGGCCAGGTTTCAAATATGCCACACCCCTTCATCCATAAACCGCCACTCCTTCTCCATTGCCGGACCCCAAGCTTGGGTGCCTACCCTAATCAAATCTGGTTGGGAGACCGTTTTCAATTTGCACCGTGGATGAACCTTCACGAGCCTGATTGGGGCCAACGGGTCACCTATGGGAAATTTTCTCAGTCGCACAGCAGGACTGGTGGTTTATGAGATCAGGCTGCTGCAAGGACAGAGTTGTCGAGCAGAAAGGGGAACCTTGGATCGAAAAGCCCTGTGACGAATTAGGATCCGCGTACGTGTGGATTTCAACACTATCTAAAATTAGCCCGAATTTGGTCTGTGTATGTTAAAGGGGTTGATCTCTCCAGTTGCCCCTTTGTCTTTCAAATTTCTGTTTGTATATTGTAGTATAGTCCAAGTTGTGATGTATGAACTCTATTTCAAAGCTCAATTTTGTTGCAAAAAAAAATCAAATTAATGAAATATTAGTTCTTCATCAAAGGGGTATACCTATGAGTTTGCACTTCTATACATCCAACTCCACAATTCGTCAGCGACGTGCCTAGACTCATTGGATGATTTGCTCTATATTTCTTCTTTTCTTTTTGGATTGTCCCAAAAATGGTTGAAAATTTCAAAGCTCAATTTCCTTACAACAAAAAAAAAACAAATTTAGTAAATTGTGAGTTATTCATCAAAGGGTGAACCTAGGAGTTCGAGCTTCTAAAAATCCAACTCCACAATTCACCATCAACAAATCTAGAATCATTTTCATGATTTGCTCTATATTTCTTGTTTTCCTTTTGGACTGAAAAAGGATGAGAGCCTGCAATTATGTACAATTCTCATATGGTCAAGAACCCGAAGCCTCTCATATGCATTGATGTTCTGGTTATGTGTTACGCACCGCTTTTGATAGTTGCACTTACAGTTGGGTTATTACAGTATCCGACCATTCAATATGATGTTTTGAGTGGGTGCTTATGGTTTTTGGCTTCACCAGTGCACCAATAACTTTCCACGTGATGACGCATGTGTTTTGTGCGATGTTTGACCGGTTTGTGCTCGCCTACAAGGATGACATTTTGTTGTATAATTTTACGACAAAAGCAAAAACACTTTGGACATGTTTGTTGCATATTGTAGAAACTTCACCAGACCCGATCAAAGTGGATTGCAACAAATGGAACCGTGTCAAGTGAGAGCTTCGGCACGTAAGCTAGCTTACTATGTACCTGGGCACATCGAGTGCGTTGGTCATTTTGTCGCACCAAATGACTTTAATTCTATATAAGATATGATTTAGGCTATATACGCGTGTACGTTCTTTATGGCATCATGATGTCGTAGCATCGTCGTCGGATAATATCACGCTGACTTGAACTTTGTGAAAAAGATTAATTTTCACACGCGGATAGGATTCAATTCAAGGGAAGATGGTAGGCTACTCCTAGGGTACCACAACACAAAACTTGTATGTCACCTCGACGTAAACAACATGGTTTAATTCAGCATGGTTAGAGCACCATCTCCATCAGTTGGGTCATTTCACTAATGCCATAAAGTATTTTCATGCAATTTAATTATAACATTTTGATTGTAATT